CAGAAGAAGCATAAACAGAAGAACCAAAACCAAAACTGTTTAAGCTTCGTTTTGGTGCTAAACCCTAACAATGGCGACCTCCTTAGCCTCGCAATTAGAAACTCTAAGGTCCTTCGCCAAAGCCGACTCCGAGCCTCTCAAGCGACCATTCACCCGTCCTTCAATATTGTTCGATCCCAAAGAAGCCGCCGACATCGATATCGAAACTCTTTTCTCCCTCGCTCTTGAAGGTCAATCTTCTCAATTTGCTTCTCATTTTACTCATTCTCTTTTCAACCAAGCTGGTGCAGCTGTGCAATTCACCTAATCCAATAAAGTTTTGCACTATGCTAATCGTGACGAATGGAGCATATGAAGCGTGTTGCTTCTTTATATTCTGTTTTGTGTTTGCTGACATTTTTTTGGCTATTTCAGGTTTAGAGGTTCTTATTGGCAAGGATGAGCGGTTCAGGAACTATAAGAACGATTTGTTTAGTCACAGGAGTAAGGAGTTGGATAGAGAGTTGATGGGAATAGAACAGAATAATCAACTTAATGTCTCCATTGCTTCGTATTTAAGACTGCTTTCTGGATATTTTCTTCTTAGGCCTGCTCTTAAAACGCTTGAGTACTTGATACGTAGACACAAGTGAGTACTTGACTTGATTTTGATATTTTACGGTTGCTTGAACAATGTTATGGATTGTCTTCTTCTTCGAGGTGTTATGCTGATAATCTCATTTTGCCCCGCCTCCTTTACCTTTTCTGTTTTGTTTTTTTTATGTGGTCTGTTTTGAGTTTCAGGATTCATGTGTACAACGTCGAGGATTTGATTTTGTGTTCTTTGCCGTACCATGACACACATCCGTTCGTACGAATAGTACAGATACTTGATACAAGGTTAGAAAGATATGATTATGTGTTTTTGGTTTGCTTGTGATATGAACTATTTGACTGGCTTCTGATGTGAACTATTAGTTTGGCTTCTAATGTCTCACTTAATTTCTGTAAAGGAATACTAAATGGGGGTTTCTTGATGGTGTTAAAGCGTCTGGTGCACCGCCTCCTAGGATGGTCATAGTGCAGCAGTGCATCCGTGACAAGGGCATATTAGATGCTCTATGCAACTACGTAAGTAATTTTCTTTTTTGTGTTTAGTTGTGAATTTGGAAGTGGTCTACTGGAATCTAATTAGATATCAGAGCATTTGGTTACAGGCATCTCCGTCTAAAAAGTCTCAACCTTCAAGGCTTTTTATTGGTTTTTGTACTGCTGTTTTTGTTGAGGTTTTGGGTACTGTTGTAACTGTAGACGATGATCTTGTAAAGAGGATACTTCCTTTTGTGGTATCTGGTCTTCAGCCTGGCATTAATGGAGTTTCAGATCACAAGGTTAGATTCAAAGGAAATTATCTCTGTGCATTAGAATTTAGAACTGATTATATTTAGACATCACACTGCAATATATTTTGTGACTACTTTCTCATTAGTTTGCTGTTTATTTACTTGCCGATGGTAGACTTAATGAATTTGCTTTTCTGTTCCAAAATATCCTCTAATGCAATATTACTCATCACTAATAAGAATAGTCATGTAGCGTTTATAATTTGGTACAAGTGAGGCTAACCCACTTTGTTAACAAGTGTTATTCACTGTTTCTTTGTCTATTGTCTTAAATTATTTCGTACATTCTTTATAATTTGTTTCCATAAATGTAGAATATTCTTAGACAAGCTCATGTTACAATCTATACGATATGTTTAAGCAATTGATATCATAGCATTATATCGGATCTGATCCTTTACTTATCCACAAATGTTGAGGGAACTGTGTTATCACAATCGTAAACTGTGATTATATTATATGTATGCTTGACCTCATTTTGAGGACTTATTTTATGTATTGAAAGGTGAGGTTTTAGGTGTAGAGGGAGGTAAAGTAGAAAATAGAGACTTTGGATGATCCTATACTGGTCATAGTTATAATGATTTGCAATGTCATGGTATATTCTTAAACAAGAAACTCTAACTCTAACTATTTTTTACTTTAATCATTGAGCAATCTTAAGATATTATGAGAATATTGGCAAACTAATACTAAAACATGATTTAAGATATAGTAAATTATTTGACATATTCTAACAATTTTTGTGCTACGTTTCTTGGTACCTTGTGAAACAATTGTCTTTTNCTGTTGTAACTGTAGACGATGATCTTGTAAAGAGGATACTTCCTTTTGTGGTATCTGGTCTTCAGCCTGGCATTAATGGAGTTTCAGATCACAAGGTTAGATTCAAAGGAAATTATCTCTGTGCATTAGAATTTAGAACTGATTATATTTAGACATCACACTGCAATATATTTTGTGACTACTTTCTCATTAGTTTGCTGTTTATTTACTTGCCGATGGTAGACTTAATGAATTTGCTTTTCTGTTCCAAAATATCCTCTAATGCAATATTACTCATCACTAATAAGAATAGTCATGTAGCGTTTATAATTTGGTACAAGTGAGGCTAACCCACTTTGTTAACAAGTGTTATTCACTGTTTCTTTGTCTATTGTCTTAAATTATTTCGTACATTCTTTATAATTTGTTTCCATAAATGTAGAATATTCTTAGACAAGCTCATGTTACAATCTATACGATATGTTTAAGCAATTGATATCATAGCATTATATCGGATCTGATCCTTTACTTATCCACAAATGTTGAGGGAACTGTGTTATCACAATCGTAAACTGTGATTATATTATATGTATGCTTGACCTCATTTTGAGGACTTATTTTATGTATTGAAAGGTGAGGTTTTAGGTGTAGAGGGAGGTAAAGTAGAAAATAGAGACTTTGGATGATCCTATACTGGTCATAGTTATAATGATTTGCAATGTCATGGTATATTCTTAAACAAGAAACTCTAACTCTAACTATTTTTTACTTTAATCATTGAGCAATCTTAAGATATTATGAGAATATTGGCAAACTAATACTAAAACATGATTTAAGATATAGTAAATTATTTGACATATTCTAACAATTTTTGTGCTACGTTTCTTGGTACCTTGTGAAACAATTGTCTTTTCAAATTTTCCTCATATGCAGGCTGGTTCTTTGATGATCATTGGTTTGCTTGGAAACAAAGCTGCATTAGCTCCCAAGCTTTTGAATAGTCTGATACGTTCAGTTGCTGAGGTTGCTAGTGGCGAGGCTATACAGATGACAGATATCTATTGGTTTCGATTGTCCCTTATTACTTTAATAAATGTTGTTCAGGTACTAGTGTAATCCTTGATGTTTGGGTGGTAAATAGTATTTATCCAATTTCCTTTCAGAATGCAATATCTATTTCTGAATCTTGCTATATTTTTATTTTAACTTGTTATGTTGGAATTTTTCTTAGTCTCAAAATGTTGAAATCCTACCAACGAAGGCCTTGGAGGTTTTAAATAAAATAAGGTAGTCAAATTGAACTGCTCAACTTTTACATAATCACTGTCCTTGAACTGTTCCCTTTTCTTTATTTATATTTATACCATAGTTAATCCCTTTTAATTATGTAGGGACCTGGCAGGGGTTTTATCAGAATTATCTAAGGAGTTCAATATTGAAAAGTTTCTTCGTGTGCTTTTGGACTCCCTGATTGACTGCAGGTGAGCATTGTATGATTGTCTTTCTGTGCATATATGCTTCAAGTCATATTTTATAGAGGCTTGTGTCTTGTGTTGATTATAACAACTACGGATTGCAGTTCTGATGAATACTGTCAGCAGACTTTGCTATCCTTGATAGAAATTATCCCCATAAACAGTTTTGTTGATCACGTGGTCATGACAATTCTTTCAACTTGTGTGAAATTATCACAAAAAGTTGGTGACTCAACTTCTTCCATGTCAGGTACATCTGATTTTGTACTGTAAAGAGCTCATTACTTAGTTCTGTACCCCTAATTATATATCTTATTGTAATTCATAAGGTTGAGCTTAATAATAATTCATATTGAGAGTGAATCAATGAACCTTTAGAAGCTTCTGTAAACAATTTTTTTTGTACCTGTTTGTATTTTCTTCTGAATTCTGAAAGCAATGATCATGCGGGCCTTTTTATGTTATGAGTAAGTTTTCTTTAACTGTTAAGTTTGAACTTACTCTGTGTTTGTATTAGCTTCTTTTTTAGGCAAAGAAGCTTTATTTGTTAGCTTATTGGGAAATTATTTTCCCGAATCAGAACTTTCTGTGCAATATATATATGATGTTAAAATAGTTCTACATAGCACTGGTTTGTTTTCTGTATCAGTATTACGTAAGAAAAGGCATGTATTGTCTATATAAATATAAGAATGGCATTTGAAACACCAGAGCAAAGCATAGCATTATATCGAATGCTGATATTACTCATTCATACTGCATGGAAAGCTCCTGTTAATAGGAAGCCAAACTCTTGGATCACACTGTTGAAAATGATGCCATGTCAAGGAGCTTTAGTCCATTTCTTTAATAGAGTTTGAAATTGGGAAAGAAAATTAGAATTTGGACTTGAAGTCTAATGCCTTCAACAGGGGAAGTTTTATTTGTTAGAAACTACACATCATTTTTTAATACTTTCACCTTTGAATAGCAGTATGGATTTATAAGGAAGTCCAAAAGACTGTGAAAAAGATGAACAGTAACTCAAGGAATCAAGGAATTGCATAGACTACTGTTCAATACATTAATGCTGCCAACAATCCATGTTGAGTGTGGTTAGACATCATTAACTCAGTTGATTAACTGTCTAATGAACTGGGTGTCATCTAATTGTGTATCATAGTATGATCTTGTAAATAACACAATTAAATCATTAAATGTGTGCTTTTTATGTTTTAGTAGTTGGTGTATATTTTTATTTGTTTTGTTGCCTTTTCTAACTTAGCTACTCTACTGGCTTTATGTTTTTTAATAGAAATCTACAACTAGTCTGTTAATATTGGCTTGCTTAGATTATTTTCCATAATGTTGGTTTGTCAATTGTTGGTTAGCTGGCTGGGCAAAGAAGATTCTGATTATTTAAATCACAAAGTACCCTTCGGAACTACGTGGTGCAGTTCATCATTTCCTTCAGGCATGCTGATGAATTTTCTGCTTTTTTGTTCTCATGCATTGTCTGATAGTTTATAATGTGTTCAACTTTGAATATGTTTAAACAGGAAAACAAAGCGCGTTCCAGAAAGATGATTCGTTGTATAAGGTTTTGTGTAAGTTGTTAGATGGAAATTTGGATTCTGCATTGATATCTCACACTCAAAAGTTTGGTTTGGCCTGTATCATCCGAAGGTAATACTATAGCTCTTCTATTGAATATCTGGTTTATATAAATCTAGATGTGTATCATGTACAATAATGATAAATTTTGATGTTATAGGCTGATGTTCGTCGTGCTACACTGCTTGATTTAGATTATTCTGTTATTCCGGAAACCAAGGATGGTTCAAAGGTATATCTGCTCTTCTAGTTTTCCCATCTTCCAAAAACCTTATGTTTCCATTCAATTTGTATTTTTCATTTCACAATGTTTGAAGAACATTAAATTCTGTTTCTCATTTGTTTGTATATATTTTGTTAAAGCATTTTTGGTGCCAATTTTTTTTGTAAAGAACATTAAATTCTGTTTCCTCCTGTTGTTTGGTATAAGTTACACCCACTCTCGCCATTTAATAACATTTTACTGTATAACTTTATTCTCGAAAGCTGTTTAGGTTAATCCAAATTTTGGACACATCAATTATATACTTCAAAATTAATTTAATGTATTCTTTGAAAATATAAAGCATTTATTTTTCTTCTTATTGTCCATATTTTTACAAAATATAAACCATTTAATTTTCTTCTTACCGTCCATATTTTACATAGATAAATTTTGGTAAATATGTTATTATAAATCAATTGTTGGTTCAACAAAAAATTAATTTTTTAATGATGCAAGAATCGGGTGTAAGTTAGAATGCTGTAAATTGATTCCTCCTCGTGTACAGTACTTGTAATTTCTGATACTGGTGGCATATTACTTTTCTTATTATTTTATTCGTAGGAACATGGTTGAGCTAACAAATGTTGCTGTCAAATACCAGTTTTAAATACTTGTTGTATTTAGAAATTTCTGATATATTGTATTACCCTGCAATGTCTGAACTACGAATGGAAAATGCTAGTAAGAGTTTGCTGTAGGTACCAGGCCAAAGGTCTGGTTGTGGTAGCATTTGAGTAGTTTATTAATGAGTTTTTGGTCTGCCATAATCAATTATATCAATAAGCTATGCATCAACTGATTATCATCATGGTTTATGCTATTTATGAATGAAATTATGAATTGATATCATTTTTTGGGGAAATATTTATAATATGGTCAGAGATTTTGTTAGGATGAGTTGATGCTGTCTTTGCGTATTCAAAGTCTTTGACTTTTGACTAACCCCAACATACATCTTGGTTATCAGAATCTTATAAACGTTCAAGAGGCCATATTAAGACTGCTAGATGATACAGAACTAACAGTTGTTCAAGCAGCTTTACGTGTTGATGGCTTGTCAAATGTAATAGATTCTTCTAAGCTTCTTGATGCACTACTGAATGTGCTAAGAAGATGCATGGACAAACTGCTTTCAGGTAATTGGTGGTATATTATAAATAATTAGGTAGAAGTTTATCCTATATGTTTATGTTGTGTTGTGGCACTACAATGAAATGCAGCGTGCATTGACTTATTGGTATATTGGGAAAAGGATTTTGTTCTTTGAATGCATTCTGTATGGATTTTGATGTATGAATGTTAGTGGTGGGAGTTATGATTAGAGAAATAAATGTGGTCTTATAAATGTCTAAGTCTCCTTGGTGTTTTTTGAACGTGTTCTATTGGGATTAATTGTTCATCGATCCCATTTCTTGTCCATTCTTGTTGAAGGGTGTCTGGTTGTCCATTTTTATGTTTATTTGTATCAAAATGTGTTTTTCCTTTATGATGACTGGATAGTTATAGCTGTTGGGTCATATGCTTCTTTTTGGAGTTTTTCACCATATGATGATTCGAGCTGTCAATGCTTATCTTAGATTGTACAGTCAATTATTAAGAAAATTTAATTGCATAATGTCTGTATTAAAGTTTAAATTAGAAGAATGGAAGCATAGTGATGGGATTATTGGTACTAGTTCACCAAAACATGTTCTGAGGAATGTGTAAATTGTTGCTGTTCTACTGTTACTCGAGTATATATTGTCTTCAAAAAGTTACAGCTTGTTGTTTCCTGTTTTGGTCTAATAAACTTATTCCAGTTCTGTTATGTCCATGGATATGGATGAATTTGGCTTCACAGAGATGTTTGTGTTTTGGTAGTCTTTAAACAAATGGTCTTTTGCTTGTTTCAATATTAGAGATTCATCAAGGATGATGCATCTAACCATAGAGTGGCTGGTGGAATTAAATAATGGGAATAAAACAATTACTTTGTGCTCTTTCTCCACTGCATCTTTTAACCACCACATTTTCTTGTAGGTTCTGCTGATAGCGATAGTCTAAATGGTGAAGTTGCAGTCACTTGTTTAAAGAAAGCTATCTCTTACTTCGGTGATCATACCGGTTACTTGAAAAACATTGCTGCTATGATTTTTCCATTACTCATTGTTCTAACCCAGGTAGTGGCTAAATTCTGATTAATTTGTATTTTGGATAAAAAATTTATTATATTATGATCTTGTTTCTTCTAACTAAATTGTTTTTATATTTCCCTTGCTCTTATTTTGCTTTGCGCAGACACAGAGCTTGAATGTAAAAGCTTTGGGACTAGTCAACAAAATAAACTGGCCACTTTATAAGAATATTTTCATGGCTTCATCGGGAGAAGTGGTAAGTATCTGCCTTTTGAACTAGTTTGCTCTAAATTTATATTTAATGTATAACTTACAGTGAGAAGAAATTTAAATCTATTTGTCAAAAAAACCCAAGTTTGTCAAACTCAGGATTCTCTAGGATTGGCGAAAGTGTCCAGGACATGAACATGATATGTCACTAGTATTGAAGAACACTAAATATTGTGAAATGCTTGAGCATAAAGGTTCCTTAACTTTATTTATAATGGTACAGTAGTTGAAGGGAGTAATTAAAATTTACAAGATCCCTTGATGGGAGGAAAGAAAAATAAATCAGATTTGAATCTGATATAAATGAAATAATTGTATAAATACAGAAAGTGTTGGACAAATTCCGATATCTAAATCAAATACCACACTAGTACATATATAGGGTTTTATCAAAGTCATTAGTTATTCATCAGTAAGCAAAGCCACTCCTAAATATGTTTGTCAAAAGAATTTGGAAATAGCCTTTCACTTTACTGACTCTTGGAAGTAAAATTGCAGGCATTGATACCTGGAAGTTTATCTTCAATTAACTTGAAGATTGTCAATAAAATGGCTGAAAATTTCTTGGTCCATCCTGAAGACCATGTTAATTGGTTTGTGGAATGCTGCAGTGATTTGGAGTTGTCAAAGACACTCTTCTTTTTTGTTCTCTTGCAGTCTCTTTGTATAAAACCAAAAGGTTTGCTTTCTCCTTCTCTTTTTGAATTACATATTTTCAGAAATAGTCAATGTCGAGATATGGGAGTAAATATTGCACATTTGGTGTACAGTAAAAATAGATTGATCGGATAATGAATATATATTTGTTTGTAAGAAATCCCTAAAGTCAAGGGATTGGGATGAAGAGATTTGGTAGATTTGCTCCAGATTTAGAGTCTCTATACCTGGAGATTTGTTTGCTTTATTTTAGGAGATATGTTTCCTTTTATTAGGATTTCATTTTGCCTTCACATACCAATGTAATGGTACTTTTTGAGATCAAGAAAAGTAATTCCATAACTATAGCTTACCGTCTGTCTATGCATGTTTTCACAGTTCATAACTACATAAATATATTATTTTTTTGAATGATTGAAAACAATAACGTTTTGACACATGTCAGAAATAAATGTTTTGAGCTATATCATAGCTTTCCTTAGTTGTAGTTTGTTTCTTTCTATTAGATGTTAGTCATAAACTTGTAATTAATTGACTTTTTTTCTTGTGATCAAAGACGAAGAAGACATTTATGCACTATTTGAATGTCTATTTCCTTTTCTAAAGGCTGAGTGGGAAACTTCAGTAGGGGCTGATGTCGTATTGGATGAGGTACATAGGATTTACTTGCATGCTGTTTTTCTTAGTTCATTATTTGTCTCGTTTTTCTGTGCTGAGAAACTAATTTTTACTTGTTACTGTTTCAATTGTTGGGAATTGTTTTGCAGTTCAATTCTGAAATGCTAGAGTGGCAGTGCAAGGATTTCTTAAAAGATCTTTTGTATGCCAATCTAAGGCCTATAAACGTGAAGGTTATGATTTGCATATTTTGGAGGCTGTTAGAACTACTACTATCTGTAGCACCTTCTGACATTCTGCTGGTTAGGAATTCCTTTGTCATTTTTGTAATCCTGTAATCAATGTCTTATGAACTTGCTATCCTTCTCAGAATTTGCTACTAGACTCCTTTTTTTCCATCACTGATTGGATGAATGAACCTTTTACAAAATGCAGCGTGATGGTGATAAGTGGGTCAGCAAGATAAGGAATCTGTTTGTTTTTTTTGCCTCCTCAAAATTGAAGCATGCATTCCGTAAACACCTCCATCACTTAGCAGTGCAGTGCAGAATATCACCTTCTTGTCTCTTGTCTAAGTTTTTCACAGAGGAAGGTTGCTATATACTTGATCTTTTTTATTTTGATTCTCATGGCTTTTTGTTGGACACTGTTTTTGATACTTCTGTTGTGGATATGCTGGATTGTATTTTTTTCCCAACGGGGTGGTCTATTAATATTTATTAACAGTGCAAACATATCCAATGCCAAATCATTTTACGAGAGAACAATTTAAGATGCATTGGTTCTTGTATTTGAAGTATATATGATGTTTAGAAAAACTAATATCAGAGAAACCCTCTTCTCAAAGTATTTTTTTTCGAAGTGAGAATAGAATGTTTACTTGAAGAATAAATTTATGAGAGTGGTACTTGAGAGCAAGGGTGTCAAACTCTCAAGTTAACATTAAACTCTTTCGAGTTTGTGATCCTAGATTGAGAAAACGAGTTAACTCACTATTAAACACTTTTCTGAGTAAACCTGGGTAAATTCACGTGGACTATTGGGTAAATTCTAAATCCTTAAGCACTTCTATGGAAAGCCCCTTTTATCCTTTCATCTACTTCTTTAGTACTTTTGTGCAAATGATTTCTGTTGGAGAAGAGGAATTTTATTCTTTGGAACCATTAGGTTGAAGTTGCTATTGAAAGTCAGTCCAGAGCCTTCTACACTGTCTTTTTTTTATAAGTATTTATTCTAATTTTTTATTCAAAACTGAGATATTTGTGGAGTCCATGGGTTTATCTCACACCAAAAGAGCTTTTAAATATCTTTGTTTGTCTGATTCTAATCACAGCATTAATATATGTTTAATTAATGCATATATGCCCAACCAAATTTAGTGTTTTTCCATCTATGCAAGTGCAGTTGTGTTGTTATAATTCCAAACTGCGTAGGTATTCTATAGCTAACATTTTATGGTTCAGAAGTCATATAAGTTCCAATTGGCTTGATTTTTGGGTTGAATATTCCATTTTGCAGGTGTTTCTGCTGCAGTCCAGGTTGAAAGTCTTCAATGCTATGCATTTCTGTGTAGCCTGGAACCAGATAGATGGAAACTTGGACTTTTAGCTGAATTCCCGTCTGTTCTTGTTCCTTTAGCGAGTGATACTCAGGTACGATTCTGTTAGCTTTATTCTCTAAACTTGCTATTTTACCCCCTCTTTTCTGTATATTGCCTATTTGTAATTGTTGGCAAATTGTCTTGTCAACGTATCTCAAGTTATTTTTATTCATGATTTTGCTGTTTTTTCTTTTTCTTTTTTTTTAAATTTTTGTGGGAGTGTTGTTGGCTGCTGATAATTTATTTGCATCTTTCTAATTTCTTCCAGAATATAAGGGTTGCTGCCATGGACTGTATTGATTCATTGTATACATTGTGGTGTCATTTTGAGCATGCTGGCAAGAAAAATGGTAATGTTAGAATAATCTGATGTAGTCCGCAATGCTTTATTAATTTCACCTTAGTACTTTGTAAGTATCTAATACTGATAAGAACAGGGAACAATGCCTCATGGTTTCATTTCGTGGGTGAGCTTCTCTCCCTGATGAGTCAGCTGAAAACATTCATATTGTCCGACAAGAAATTTCTTCCTTCACTATTTGCATCCACTTTGAGCTCATCCTTTACAAACAACTTGGAGCATCAAAACATTTTGGTACCTCAAAATGTTGAAAAAAGGTATTTTTTATGTTATTATAGAAATTCTTATCATTCTTATTTCAATAGCTGCACTTTATTTCTGTAGAACTGTTTTTTATATTCATTGCTTTAGCTGCTGCTTTGTGAAATATTTTTCCGCATAGTATACTTGATCTTCTTAAATGTGGGGAACATTTGGATAAAGTCCCCTTGTAAGCCTTTTCGTTTCTAAAATCTAAATGATGATGTTTGACAAATGACTAGTGGTGATCATGGATTGGATTCTTGAAGATCCTTCCAACTTTGCATTCCTTTTGCCCAACCCAACCTTTCCTGACATAGGCCTGAATTGACTTTTCTCTACCTAGACTCGACCCAACTTGGATCCAACAGGACTTAGCTTGATTTTGACTCAAACTTGAAGTTACTCAACCCAACCTAGGGCTTGTCCAGCATGGCCCGCCCTAGGCCCCAACCAACACAGTTTGACCTTGGTCTCACCCAACTTATCTTGACATGCACCAAGCTTGACCCAACTCCATCTGAGTCTTGTCTAACTTGGATTTGAAGGTCCAACTCAACATGGCATGGGCTCAACCTGTTTTGACTTAGACTCAAGCCTCGTTGACTTAGCTTGACTTGGCCTTGACCTTGTAGGCTTATCTCTATTCAGACTGTTGTGGGCCAACTTTGCCCAAGTGAGTGTCCCACATTTGGTAGAAATAAGGAAGTTGAGCAACATATAAGAAAAAAGACACCATAAACCCATTGTCTTAAAGTTTTGGATAGGAGATGGTGTTAGGTTTCTAATATATGAGTTTGGTCATAACTCAATGGTACCAAATCTCTTCTGTTTATCCCCTTGAAAGACTCAATGAGCTTAGACCAACCAACTAAACATGGTTCTAGTCGAACTAATTTTTGGGCCTATCAAAAAAACGATTTGAAGAAAAGATTAAACCAAAACTGAACTGTATGATATTTCAGTTAAATGAAATCACAGAATACAAGGCGAGTATATATAAGCTCTAAAGGTTTCTAAATAGGTTACAGAAAACAGAAAACTAACATTCAATTGAAGAACTGAATGTTTTTACATCAATCTCTAATATGGCCCGACCTATCCAAGACTTATCTAGGTTTTTCCTAGCCTAGCTTGACTTAGGCCAAATACGACTTGATGTTGGGCCTGACCTGGCCTATCTTTGACTGCAATCTAACCTAGGTCTGGCTTAACCAAACTTGGCTTTGGTGTGGTCCGGTCCAAGTTGTCTTAAATCTCCTTGAGTTTGAATTTTCAAAATCCAAAAAAATATCCAATTCAAGTTTAATTAAATGATTCGACTTAAAATCCAATCCTCTACTTATACACTACTTTTGCTATTTGTTTGGTTGATATGTGATTAAATAAAAACTCTTGAGGTTGCAATTAAAGCAACCTTTATAGATGCTGCAACCAAGGCTACCTTGGGTTAACCACAACTGAGACAAATTTCTAAACTCCCTATCATGCCTAGGACTTCCAGCCTACAGTGTGGCAACTGTAGATGAACCAACATTGGAACTATTATAGACTCCTACATTTTATAATTTGGGTTTGGGCATAACTCAACCACAAAGAATTGATGGTAAGGAGAGGGTTTTCTCCTAGTTATATCATATATTTTTGCTCTATTGCTTGTCAATGTGGGACTATATCACCGGCCTTGTTGTTGCAATTAAGACTGCTACACAAGAGGCTTCACTTAAAGACAAAGGACTCTACAATAAAAAAGTAAGCCAGCAAGTATTGATAAAATGACAATATAAACCATAATTTCATCAATGTCCCAAAGTGGTCCTTCTTTGCAACTGTGACAGCTTGGATTTGTATGTGATTTGGGCACCTTAACTATTTTGTGAATTAATCTTAGCATTATATTAGAGGATGAAGAAGGATAGAAGGTGCAAATTGCTTCACCTCACAGATGTTCAGTCAAATATAGATTTAACATTGTTTGATTTGATTTACAATAATGTTTTTCTTTTTTGTTTATTTGTTTACAATCTGTTTATTGTTTCAGATTGTGTGGCTTATCTTTGTTGTGGAGTTTAAGCTGCTGTTTTGTTTTGTTGAGATGGAGGGGGGATAGAGTAGGTTTAGCCATTTAGGAATATTCAGTTTTTCTTGGTTCTGATACTTATTGTCATTGTTCGATGCAAATTTCTGTGAATCATCGTGTAGCTTTCTCCATCTTAATTAGACCTTTTTGATTTTGCTTATTTGTAGTTTCTTTTTTTACTTTTTGTGAACAATGTTCCTTGGAAAAGTGTTCATTTGTATTAATTTTTGAGATCCTTTATTCCACATTGTTTTCAAACACATCTCTTCAGGTTTGATCAGCCTACGAAAATAAGAATTATAGCCTTCATTTTGGGTTCCACGCTGAAACTCTCTAACTATGGAAAGGTTTGATGTCTTCACTCTCTTCTATTTTTGCTATTTATCTTATAGCTATAGATATTAGATATATTAGATATAGTGATATATATGAAGGTTTCATATGTTCATATCAGATTGACAGTGTTACATGTGGGTTTTTATGCAATCCTGAGACTGTGAGGAAGTAACTTATTAGTTGATATCCCTTGCAGCTAATGATTTTATCCTTGTTCAAAGGAATTGGGAATGCCCTTATGCATGTTCCAGAAGTTGGCTCTTTGTTGTTCACTTTTCTTATGCAATACTATGAAAAACTCAGTCTGTCGTGTCCAAAATTGTCAGACAATGAAATTCAGATAACGTGCCTTTTGCTGGAGGTATGTGTTTTGAGTTTAGTTTTAACTGGTGGAACCTTTATTCTGAGATTAGGTGTGAATTTGTTCCACTTTATTTGTAGAGCTGTGTTATGTCATCTCCCTCTGGTGGAAATGATCTACAAGATCTTTTAGTGAAAGCATTGCGGGTGAGAAACTTTTTGTATATTTTTCGCATAATGCGTATTGTTATTTTGAATTTACTGACTTCATTCTCTTGATGTTTCAGTTTGGGGGCCTGAATTCGGATGACCCTGCCTGTGTAAAGCCTTGTATCGCTGTTTTGAACAAACTCAACAGTAAATTCTATGTGGACTTGAAGAATGAAGTGAAGGTTTTATTGTCATTCTTGATTATTGATGAGTTGATCTAATGATTGCTGCCTTTTCTTTGCTTTATGCGATAAAATGTGTGATAATTTTCCCTTTTTGTGTAAATGAAAAAAAAAATACCAAGGTAGCCCGTACTGAGTCCTAACTTCTACTTTTTTTTTCTTATGCCTTCCAGGAGCATTTGTTTTGTGAGCTTGTGTTTCTGTGGCGTAATGGTAATGGTGATGTACAACGTGCAACTAAAGAGGCATTAATGCGTATAGATGTTAGTTTCTTGCTCATAATCAAATGTTATTAACCATGTGTTTTCTTGGTTAGTTCCTTTTTTAATGTATCTTTCTGGAGTGTAAGGTTTTTTAGTGGTTATTTGCAAAGAACTTAATTATTTGGTATTATTCTATCTGGAACTTCCCTTTGGAAAGGGTGTTTATTTATTATTTTATGTTTTTGGGACTGGGGTAGTAAAAATATAAAACATTTTGTAAACCAGATGCCCCTTTACTTGACAGGTGAAGACACATTCCACAGTGAATTTTCTGTTTAAATTGTTTTTAAAGTACTGATGGTTAACAAATGGTATGAATATTTAAATAAAAATTGAAAACACTTATATAAATGGCTGCAAAACATACCATACAAGCCGGTTTTATGAGGTTGAATTAGACTTAAAGTCTACTTAACATGGTATCAGAGTCGTGAATTAGATCCTGTTCTAGTGAAATTTGTTGTTTGTGGGGTCTATTGTTCTACCCGGTATCAAGTTGTTATCGGATCATCCATCAATGTCTGGTCCCACACATGAGAAGTATATGTCTCGGCATGAGAGGGATGTGTTGGAAGTCTCATATTGACATATAAGTGGGTGCAAATCTCACTTTATAAGTCAGTTTTATGGGGTTGAGCTAAGTTTAAGGTCTTATTCTTAAGAGAAATCTTAACAATCAATATATCTTCTATTTATTAGCCTTGGTCTTTCTGGAAACACTTTTTGTTTACATGTTTGAGAACCCCTGTGCATTTATGCATATGATTGAGTTCATACAAATGTTTTTATGACATTCTATTTAAAACTTGAGTAATAACATCATTAATATTGTTAATTAATTGTAGCTTTGTTAAATGAACAAGTAGATAGCATCTTTCGGAAATTATTAAACAGTTAATATGGTTGTGACCTGAGGCAAAATTTCAATACGTAAGTTCCATTCTTGTCGATGGCCATGGCCTTTTGAAGCAGCTAGTTGTTTTTCACTTTAAATGTTATTTGTTGTTGCCCTGTTACTTTTTAATGTAGTGGGAGGGTTCTTCCAATTTAGTATTCCACAATTGGATGAAAAGAAATGAAATTGAGAATAATTGGGGATATGTTGGAATTGCAGATTAGTTTCTCAACTGTTGGCTACATGCTTGATCTCATACTTGCACTGAAGAGTTTTATAGTTAGTTCTTCAAATGAAAAGGCGGTGAAGAAACAAAAATTGGTTGGACACCAAGATGCTGAAGATCCTTCTAATAACATATGGAGAAGAGATAATCCAGTCTATATCCTTAGTTCCCTTCTTGATGTTTTGCTATTGAAGAAGGACATAACAAATAGGTGTTTGCTTAATTCTGAATCTGAACGTTACATTATGTGTACTGTCGAGATTAGCGATTGATGCATTTAATTGTCCTAATTTTCAATTTGATTGTTGCAGGCATTTACTGTTAGGATCCTTATTTAAGCTTCTTAGCAAGGTATTTTCAGAGGAATGCGTGAACGAGTCCTTTATACCTGTGCAAAGGTTAAGCCAAAAATCAAGTTCTTCTGAAGCCAACAATAGCACAATATATCATATTCAACAGACTCTATTGATAATCCTGGAGGATATAATTATTTCTCTTAAAAGCATTGCCTCACTGAATGTATGCATCCTAATTGTGAAGCTTTGAAATTTATTATGTTAGATAACTTAGTTTGACTACCTTTCGCTATTTTGGTTATATCCTTATATAGTGTTTTATCGTTGTTGACAGGAAAATATTAAAAGTGAAATTAACATTAAGCTACTGATAGGGTGTGCCCAGAACTCTGAAGTTATCACCCGCAACCATATATTTTCTGTTCTTTCTGCTATTACTAGAGTTTATCCAGAAGAAGTTTTTGAGTATATGCTCGATATTCTTGTAGTTATTGGAGATGCAGCCGTCACACAGGTTTGTTAATATAGAGTTTTTCTGTTGAGCTTAGGCATTCTATGAGTAGAATAGCTTATTATATCCTTTTCTACCATGTTGGTATGGTTGTCATTTCGGTAGAATGGCTTATTATATCTTTCTCTTTTTGTTTGTCCATACTTGTTTCAAATTCACCCATTGACTATCTTAATTACATGGTTTGTTGGACAACTTTGCCTAATGTGAACTGGTTTTATAGTAACAAATTCACCCATTGACTATCTTAATTACATGATTTGTTGGACAACTTTGCCTAATGTCAACTGGTTTTATAGTACCAAATCCTATAGGCATTTCTGTTATTCCTGAGTTTCCTTCATGCATCACTGGTTAACAATCATTTGTTGAGTAGGGTAGAGAATCTTACAATCCCTGCCTCAATTATTGGGATCTGCTTTATATTGGAGAACCTCGGCCACTTGTTTTAAGGCCTTATTTCTTAATAACTGCTTGTTAGTTACCATTTAGGATTTTATTAAAAACTAGTAGAATGCTTCTTTTTAGCTCTTGCAACTTGTCTTTAGTACCGTGTTTAAAGAGAAAAAATCTTCATAGTTCAATTTAGTAAGGATTATTAATGATTAATTCTGTGTACGAATTGTGGTGTCACCATTTCTCTTTTTATATGCCTGTAGATTGATGACCATTCAAGGATTGTTTTTGAGGATCTTATATCTGCAATTGTTCCTTATTGGCTTTCTAAGACAGATGATGTGGAGAAACTACTGAAGGTTGGTTTTCATGGAAACGGTTTTTGGATGTCATGTCTCTTCTGTTGCTTCATGTAAAGAATCTTTTCAGATCAAACTTTTAATATGTACTTTTTTTCCTTACAGATTTTCATGGAAATATTTCCTGAAATTGTTGAACACAGAAGGCTGTCATTTGTGCTATATTTATTAAGGTATTCTTCTATTTCTACACATGATCTGCTATTGTTGACACTTTAGCCATTGGTTTGGGATGTGCATCTTATAATGATGGCTGTTTTGCAGAACTTTGGGTGAGGAGAAAAGCTTATCGTCATTGCTTATCCTACTTTTCCGTTCGCTAATTTCAAAGAAAACCAGTTGTTTTCTTAATGCTGAGACAGCAGATGATTTAACATTTTATACTAAGGAGTGGGAATATAGATTTGCAGTGCAAATTTGTGAACAGTTTACGAGTAAGATTTGGCTTCCTTCTCTAGTCATGCTGATTGAACAGAGGGTGAATAGAGATGTTGACCAGACACAGCTCCTGGAGTTGTTTATTGTGATGCAATTTTCTTTGCAAAAGTTGCAAGATCCAGAATTTGTGTTTAAGTTGGAATCAAGAGAAGATGCCGCTGTCATTCAGGTTAAATCCAAATCAGATGCATGCTGCTAGATAGTTATATGATCTCAATGTTCTCTACATGGCAAAGTTTTAATGTTACCTGTGTCATGTGTTATTAACCATGTGTTTTCTTGGTTAGTTCCTTTTTTAATGTATCTTCTGGAGTGTAAGGTTTTTTTAGTGGTTATTTGCAAAGAACTTAATTATTTGGTATTATTCCTATCTGGAACTTCCCTTGGAAAGGGTGTTTATTTATTATTTTATGTTTTTGGGACTGGGGTAGTAAAAATTAAAACATTTTTGTAAACCAGTGCCCCCTTTTACTTGACAGGTGAAGACATTCCACAGTGAATTTTCTGTTTAAATTGTTTTTTAAAGTACTGCAGGTTAACAAATGGTATGAATATTTAAATAAAAATTGAAAACACTTATATACAAGGCTGTCAAAACATACCATCCAATCCGGTTTTATGAGGTTGATTAGACTTAAAGTCTACTTAACATGGTCAAGTCGTGAATTAGATCTTGTTCTAGTGAAATTTGTTGTTTGTGGGGTCTATTGTTCTACCCGGTATCAAGTTGTTATCGGATCATCCATCAATGTCTGGTCCCACACATGAGAAGTATATGTCTCGGCATGAGAGGGATGTGTTGGAAGTCTCATATTGACATATAAGTGGGTGCAAATCTCACTTTATAAGTCAGTTTTATGGGGTTGAGCTAAGTTTAAGGTCTTATTCTTAGAGAATCTTAAACAATCAATATATCTTTCTATTATTATGCCTTGGTCTTCTGAAACACTTTTTGTTTCATGTTTGAGACCCCTGTTGCATTTATGCATATGATTGAGTTCATACAAATGTTTTTATGACATTCTATTTTAAAACTTGAGTAATAACATCATTCATATTGTTTAATTAATTGTAGCTTTGTTAAGATGAACAAGTAGATAGCATCTTTCGACTTAAAATCCAATCCTCTACTTATACACTACTTTTGCTATTTGTTTGGTTGATATGTGATTAAATAAAAACTCTTGAGGTTGCAATTAAAGCAACCTTTATAGATGCTGCAACCAAGGCTACCTTGGGTTAACCACAACTGAGACAAATTTCTAAACTCCCTATCATGCCTAGGACTTCCAGCCTACAGTGTGGCAACTGTAGATGAACCAACATTGGAACTATTATAGACTCATACATTTTATAATTTGGGTTTGGGCATAACTCAACCACAAAGAATTGATGGTAAGGAGAGGGTTTTCTCCTAGTTATATCATATATTTTTGCTCTATTGCTTGTCAATGTGGGACTATATCACCGGCCTTGTTGTTGCAATTAAGACTGCTACACAAGAGGCTTCACTTAAAGACAAAGGACTCTACAATAAAAAAGTAAGCCAGCAAGTATTGATAAAATGACAATATAAACCATAATTTCATCAATGTCCCAAAGTGGTCCTTCTTTGCAACTGTGACAGCTTGGATTTGTATGTGATTTGGGCACCTTAACTATTTTGTGAATTAATCTTAGCATTATATTAGAGGATGAAGAAGGATAGAAGGTGCAAATTGCTACACCTCACAGATGTTCAGTCAAATATAGATTTAACATTGTTTGATTTGATTTACAATAATGTTTTTCTTTTTTGTTTATTTGTTTACAATCTGTTTATTGTTTCAGATTGTGTGGCTTATCTTTGTTGTGGAGTTTAAGCTGCTGTTTTGTTTTGTTGAGATGGAGGGGGGATAGAGTAGGTTTAGCCATTTAGGAATATTCAGTTTTTCTTGGTTCTGATACTTATTGTCATTGTTCGATGCAAATTTCTGTGAATCATCGTGTAGCTTTCTCCATCTTAATTAGACCTTTTTGATTTTGCTTATTTGTAGTTTCTTTTTTTACTTTTTGTGAACAATGTTCCTTGGAAAAGTGTTCATTTGTATTAATTTTTGAGATCCTTTATTCCACATTGTTTTCAAACACATCTCTTCAGGTTTGATCAGCCTACGAAAATAAGAATTATAGCCTTCATTTTGGGTTCCACGCTGAAACTCTCTAACTATGGAAAGGTTTGATGTCTTCACTCTCTTCTATTTTTGCTATTTATCTTATAGCTATAGATATTAGATATATTAGATATAGTGATATATATGAAGGTTTCATATGTTCATATCAGATTAACAGTGTTACATGTGGGTTTTTATGCAATCCTGAGACTGTGAGGAAGTAACTTATTAGTTGATATCCCTTGCAGCTAATGATTTTATCCTTGTTCAAAGGAATTGGGAATGCCCTTATGCATGTTCCAGAAGTTGGCTCTTTGTTGTTCACTTTTCTTATGCAATACTATGAAAAACTCAGTCTGTCGTGTCCAAAATTGTCAGACAATGAAATTCAGATAACGTGCCTTTTGCTGGAGGTATGTGTTTTGAGTTTAGTTTTAACTGGTGGAACCTTTATTCTGAGATTAGGTGTGAATTTGTTCCACTTTATTTGTAGAGCTGTGTTATGTCATCTCCCTCTGGTGGAAATGATCTACAAGATCTTTTAGTGAAAGCATTGCGGGTGAGAAACTTTTTGTATATTTTTCACATAATGCGTATTGTTATTTTGAATTTACTGACTTCATTCTCTTGATGTTTCAGTTTGGGGGCCTGAATTCGGATGACCCTGCCTGTGTAAAGCCTTGTATCGCTATTTTGAACAAACTCAACAGTAAATTCTATGTGGACTTGAAGAATGAAGTGAAGGTTTTATTGTCATTCTTGATTATTGATGAGTTGATCTAATGATTGCTGCCTTTTCTTTGCTTTATGCGATAAAATGTGTGATAATTTTCCCTTTTTGTGTAAATGAAAAAAAAAATACCAAGGTAGCCCGTACTGAGTCCTAACTTCTACTTTTTTTTTCTTATGCCTTCCAGGAGCATTTGTTTTGTGAGCTTGTGTTTCTGTGGCGTAATGGTAATGGTGATGTACAACGTGCAACTAAAGAGGCATTAATGCGTATAGATGTTAGTTTCTTGCTCATAATCAAANGATAAAGTCCCCTTGTAAGCCTTTTCGTTTCTAAAATCTAAATGATGATGTTTGACAAATGACTAGTGGTGATCATGGATTGGATTCTTGAAGATCCTTCCAACTTTGCATTCCTTTTGCCCAACCCAACCTTTCCTGACATAGGCCTGAATTGACTTTTCTCTACCTAGACTCGACCCAACTTGGATCCAACAGGACTTAGCTTGATTTTGACTCAAACTTGAAGTTACTCAACCCAACCTAGGGCTTGTCCAGCATGGCCCGCCCTAGGCCCCAACCAACACAGTTTGACCTTGGTCTCACCCAACTTATCTTGACATGCACCAAGCTTGACCCAACTCCATCTGAGTCTTGTCTAACTTGGATTTGAAGGTCCAACTCAACATGGCATGGGCTCAACCTGTTTTGACTTAGACTCAAGCCTCGTTGACTTAGCTTGACTTGGCCTTGACCTTGTAGGCTTATCTCTATTCAGACTGTTGTGAGCCAACTTTGACCAAGTGAGTGTCCCACATTTGGTAGAAATAAGGAAGTTGAGCAACATATAAGAAAAAAGACACCATAAACCCATTGTCTTAAAGTTTTGGATAGGAGATGGTGTTAGGTTTCTAATATATGAGTTTGGTCATAACTCAATGGTACCAAATCTCTTCTGTTTATCCCCTTGAAAGACTCAATGAGCTTAGACCAACCAACTAAACATGGTTCTAGTCGAACTAATTTTTGGGCCTATCAAAAAAACGATTTGAAGAAAAGATTAAACCAAAACTGAACTGTATGATATTTCAGTTAAATGAAATCACAGAATACAAGGCGAGTATATATAAGCTCTAAAGGTTTCTAAATAGGTTACAGAAAACAGAAAACTAACATTCAATTGAAGAACTGAATGTTTTTACATCAATCTCTAATATGGCCCGACCTATCCAAGACTTATCTAGGTTTTTCCTAGCCTAGCTTGACTTAGGCCAAATACGACTTGATGTTGGGCCTGACCTGGCCTATCTTTGACTGCAATCTAACCTAGGTCTGGCTTAACCAAACTTGGCTTTGGTGTGGTCCGGTCCAAGTTGTCTTAAATCTCCTTGAGTTTGAATTTTCAAAATCCAAAAAAATATCCAATTCAAGTTTAATTAAATGATTCGACTTAAAATCCAATCCTCTACTTATACACTACTTTTGCTATTTGTTTGGTTGATATGTGATTAAATAAAAACTCTTGAGGTTGCAATTAAAGCAACCTTTATAGATGCTGCAACCAAGGCTACCTTGGGTTAACCACAACTGAGACAAATTTCTAAACTCCCTATCATGCCTAGGACTTCCAGCCTACAGTGTGGCAACTGTAGATGAACCAACATTGGAACTATTATAGACTCATACATTTTATAATTTGGGTTTGGGCATAACTCAACCACAAAGAATTGATGGTAAGGAGAGGGTTTTCTCCTAGTTATATCATATATTTTTGCTCTATTGCTTGTCAATGTGGGACTATATCACCGGCCTTGTTGTTGCAATTAAGACTGCTACACAAGAGGCTTCACTTAAAGACAAAGGACTCTACAATAAAAAAGTAAGCCAGCAAGTATTGATAAAATGACAATATAAACCATAATTTCATCAATGTCCCAAAGTGGTCCTTCTTTGCAACTGTGACAGCTTGGATTTGTATGTGATTTGGGCACCTTAACTATTTTGTGAATTAATCTTAGCATTATATTAGAGGATGAAGAAGGATAGAAGGTGCAAATTGCTTCACCTCACAGATGTTCAGTCAAATATAGATTTAACATTGTTTGATTTGATTTACAATAATGTTTTTCTTTTTTGTTTATTTGTTTACAATCTGTTTATTGTTTCAGATTGTGTGGCTTATCTTTGTTGTGGAGTTTAAGCTGCTGTTTTGTTTTGTTGAGATGGAGGGGGGATAGAGTAGGTTTAGCCATTTAGGAATATTCAGTTTTTCTTGGTTCTGATACTTATTGTCATTGTTCGATGCAAATTTCTGTGAATCATCGTGTAGCTTTCTCCATCTTAATTAGACCTTTTTGATTTTGCTTATTTGTAGTTTCTTTTTTTACTTTTTGTGAACAATGTTCCTTGGAAAAGTGTTCATTTGTATTAATTTTTGAGATCCTTTATTCCACATTGTTTTCAAACACATCTCTTCAGGTTTGATCAGCCTACGAAAATAAGAATTATAGCCTTCATTTTGGGTTCCACGCTGAAACTCTCTAACTATGGAAAGGTTTGATGTCTTCACTCTCTTCTATTTTTGCTATTTATCTTATAGCTATAGATATTAGATATATTAGATATAGTGATATATATGAAGGTTTCATATGTTCATATCAGATTGACAGTGTTACATGTGGGTTTTTATGCAATCCTGAGACTGTGAGGAAGTAACTTATTAGTTGATATCCCTTGCAGCTAATGATTTTATCCTTGTTCAAAGGAATTGGGAATGCCCTTATGCATGTTCCAGAAGTTGGCTCTTTGTTGTTCACTTTTCTTATGCAATACTATGAAAAACTCAGTCTGTCGTGTCCAAAATTGTCAGACAATGAAATTCAGATAACGTGCCTTTTGCTGGAGGTATGTGTTTTGAGTTTAGTTTTAACTGGTGGAACCTTTATTCTGAGATTAGGTGTGAATTTGTTCCACTTTATTTGTAGAGCTGTGTTATGTCATCTCCCTCTGGTGGAAATGATCTACAAGATCTTTTAGTGAAAGCATTGCGGGTGAGAAACTTTTTGTATATTTTTCGCATAATGCGTATTGTTATTTTGAATTTACTGACTTCATTCTCTTGATGTTTCAGTTTGGGGGCCTGAATTCGGATGACCCTGCCTGTGTAAAGCCTTGTATCGCTGTTTTGAACAAACTCAACAGTAAATTCTATGTGGACTTGAAGAATGAAGTGAAGGTTTTATTGTCATTCTTGATTATTGATGAGTTGATCTAATGATTGCTGCCTTTTCTTTGCTTTATGCGATAAAATGTGTGATAATTTTCCCTTTTTGTGTAAATGAAAAAAAAAATACCAAGGTAGCCCGTACTGAGTCCTAACTTCTACTTTTTTTTTCTTATGCCTTCCAGGAGCATTTGTTTTGTGAGCTTGTGTTTCTGTGGCGTAATGGTAATGGTGATGTACAACGTGCAACTAAAGAGGCATTAATGCGTATAGATGTTAGTTTCTTGCTCATAATCAAATGTTATTAACCATGTGTTTTCTTGGTTAGTTCCTTTTTTAATGTATCTTTCTGGAGTGTAAGGTTTTTTAGTGGTTATTTGCAAAGAACTTAATTATTTGGTATTATTCTATCTGGAACTTCCCTTTGGAAAGGGTGTTTATTTATTATTTTATGTTTTTGGGACTGGGGTAGTAAAAATATAAAACATTTTGTAAACCAGATGCCCCTTTACTTGACAGGTGAAGACACATTCCACAGTGAATTTTCTGTTTAAATTGTTTTTAAAGTACTGATGGTTAACAAATGGTATGAATATTTAAATAAAAATTGAAAACACTTATATAAATGGCTGCAAAACATACCATACAAGCCGGTTTTATGAGGTTGAATTAGACTTAAAGTCTACTTAACATGGTATCAGAGTCGTGAATTAGATCCTGTTCTAGTGAAATTTGTTGTTTGTGGGGTCTATTGTTCTACCCGGTATCAAGTTGTTATCGGATCATCCATCAATGTCTGGTCCCACACATGAGAAGTATATGTCTCGGCATGAGAGGGATGTGTTGGAAGTCTCATATTGACATATAAGTGGGTGCAAATCTCACTTTATAAGTCAGTTTTATGGGGTTGAGCTAAGTTTAAGGTCTTATTCTTAAGAGAAATCTTAACAATCAATATATCTTCTATTTATTAGCCTTGGTCTTTCTGGAAACACTTTTTGTTTACATGTTTGAGAACCCCTGTGCATTTATGCATATGATTGAGTTCATACAAATGTTTTTATGACATTCTATTTAAAACTTGAGTAATAACATCATTAATATTGTTAATTAATTGTAGCTTTGTTAAATGAACAAGTAGATAGCATCTTTCGGAAATTATTAAACAGTTAATATGGTTGTGACCTGAGGCAAAATTTCAATACGTAAGTTCCATTCTTGTCGATGGCCATGGCCTTTTGAAGCAGCTAGTTGTTTTTCACTTTAAATGTTATTTGTTGTTGCCCTGTTACTTTTTAATGTAGTGGGAGGGTTCTTCCAATTTAGTATTCCACAATTGGATGAAAAGAAATGAAATTGAGAATAATTGGGGATATGTTGGAATTGCAGATTAGTTTCTCAACTGTTGGCTACATGCTTGATCTCATACTTGCACTGAAGAGTTTTATAGTTAGTTCTTCAAATGAAAAGGCGGTGAAGAAACAAAAATTGGTTGGACACCAAGATGCTGAAGATCCTTCTAATAACATATGGAGAAGAGATAATCCAGTCTATATCCTTAGTTCCCTTCTTGATGTTTTGCTATTGAAGAAGGACATAACAAATAGGTGTTTGCTTAATTCTGAATCTGAACGTTACATTATGTGTACTGTCGAGATTAGCGATTGATGCATTTAATTGTCCTAATTTTCAATTTGATTGTTGCAGGCATTTACTGTTAGGATCCTTATTTAAGCTTCTTAGCAAGGTATTTTCAGAGGAATGCGTGAACGAGTCCTTTATACCTGTGCAAAGGTTAAGCCAAAAATCAAGTTCTTCTGAAGCCAACAATAGCACAATATATCATATTCAACAGACTCTATTGATAATCCTGGAGGATATAATTATTTCTCTTAAAAGCATTGCCTCACTGAATGTATGCATCCTAATTGTGAAGCTTTGAAATTTATTATGTTAGATAACTTAGTTTGACTACCTTTCGCTATTTTGGTTATATCCTTATATAGTGTTTTATCGTTGTTGACAGGAAAATATTAAAAGTGAAATTAACATTAAGCTACTGATAGGGTGTGCCCAGAACTCTGAAGTTATCACCCGCAACCATATATTTTCTGTTCTTTCTGCTATTACTAGAGTTTATCCAGAAGAAGTTTTTGAGTATATGCTCGATATTCTTGTAGTTATTGGAGATGCAGCCGTCACACAGGTTTGTTAATATAGAGTTTTTCTGTTGAGCTTAGGCATTCTATGAGTAGAATAGCTTATTATATCCTTTTCTACCATGTTGGTATGGTTGTCATTTCGGTAGAATGGCTTATTATATCTTTCTCTTTTTGTTTGTCCATACTTGTTTCAAATTCACCCATTGACTATCTTAATTACATGGTTTGTTGGACAACTTTGCCTAATGTGAACTGGTTTTATAGTAACAAATTCACCCATTGACTATCTTAATTACATGATTTGTTGGACAACTTTGCCTAATGTCAACTGGTTTTATAGTACCAAATCCTATAGGCATTTCTGTTATTCCTGAGTTTCCTTCATGCATCACTGGTTAACAATCATTTGTTGAGTAGGGTAGAGAATCTTACAATCCCTGCCTCAATTATTGGGATCTGCTTTATATTGGAGAACCTCGGCCACTTGTTTTAAGGCCTTATTTCTTAATAACTGCTTGTTAGTTACCATTTAGGATTTTATTAAAAACTAGTAGAATGCTTCTTTTTAGCTCTTGCAACTTGTCTTTAGTACCGTGTTTAAAGAGAAAAAATCTTCATAGTTCAATTTAGTAAGGATTATTAATGATTAATTCTGTGTACGAATTGTGGTGTCACCATTTCTCTTTTTATATGCCTGTAGATTGATGACCATTCAAGGATTGTTTTTGAGGATCTTATATCTGCAATTGTTCCTTATTGGCTTTCTAAGACAGATGATGTGGAGAAACTACTGAAGGTTGGTTTTCATGGAAACGGTTTTTGGATGTCATGTCTCTTCTGTTGCTTCATGTAAAGAATCTTTTCAGATCAAACTTTTAATATGTACTTTTTTTCCTTACAGATTTTCATGGAAATATTTCCTGAAATTGTTGAACACAGAAGGCTGTCATTTGTGCTATATTTATTAAGGTATTCTTCTATTTCTACACATGATCTGCTATTGTTGACACTTTAGCCATTGGTTTGGGATGTGCATCTTATAATGATGGCTGTTTTGCAGAACTTTGGGTGAGGAGAAAAGCTTATCGTCATTGCTTATCCTACTTTTCCGTTCGCTAATTTCAAAGAAAACCAGTTGTTTTCTTAATGCTGAGACAGCAGATGATTTAACATTTTATACTAAGGAGTGGGAATATAGATTTGCAGTGCAAATTTGTGAACAGTTTACGAGTAAGATTTGGCTTCCTTCTCTAGTCATGCTGATTGAACAGAGGGTGAATAGAGATGTTGACCAGACACAGCTCCTGGAGTTGTTTATTGTGATGCAATTTTCTTTGCAAAAGTTGCAAGATCCAGAATTTGTGTTTAAGTTGGAATCAAGAGAAGATGCCGCTGTCATTCAGGTTAAATCCAAATCAGATGCATGCTGCTAGATAGTTATATGATCTCAATGTTCTCTACATGGCAAAGTTTTAATGTTACCTGTGTCATGCTTTTCATAAATAACTTATAAATTTTCCTGTCCTGTCCCCTATTGACAGATAACAGTGTGTTGTTGAGACCTTAATTAAAAAATTTTGGCAAATTATTTGGACACTCTTGAACTAAGGCTGAATTCCACAGACCTCTGTAGTTTATATAATGATTCAATGTTGTCTAATCGTCTTTATCTGATAAAATGTTTGGAGAACAACTGCCAAAGCTAGCCATTGTGTTTCGAGAGCAAGACCTTATAAACCCCACAACAAAATCCTGTACTTCCCATGTGGGGCTAAATTCTTGTACACTGCATTAGAATCCCACACGGTGCCATCCACCGCACCCCCGTCGGTGGCCTGTTGTGGAAATCTTTGAAACCAATGGATAGAGAACCTTTTGACTTCACCACTAGAGCAAGCATTGTACTTAGAGAGTTCAAGCCAACCTTTTCCCCAGAATCCCATACTTGCTGCAATTGGATCCTAATATTGACATAAATTATATTTGTTTGATATTTCATTTTAGGTTCATATTCAGCTGTTAACTTTGTTTTTTGTGTGATGGTAATGCAATTAGTGATGTATACTTATATTTCTGCTAATGTTCTAATCTTTGAATGAGCCCACCAACCTTGGTTTGGTAGATTATAATTGATAATGAAAATATAAACTAAATGTCAATACAAATACGGATCATATTTTTTTTTTTTTCTTTTCTAGGTTGCGGTATTTGGTTTTAATGAGATGGCAATGACAGTAGTGTGTTATGCTTCTTTTTTGTGTGTAAATGTTCTAATTATGAATAAATTCATGATTAAAATAAATGTTATGGCTTCTTGAATGTTGCAGAGGGCATTGGGCGAGCTTATGGAGCAGGTTGTTTTACTTTTGCAACTTGTAGATGCAAGAAAAAAGCAACTGAACATCCCTGTAATTGTGAGGAACGAGTTGAAGGAAACTATGCGTGCTGTTATAAGGATTCTAGCAGGAGTCATGATACCTTATGTGTACATTAACAGCATAACTAAATTGCTCCACAATGCAGATAAAAATGTCGGGAAGAAGGTATGATTTTTAATATAGTTACAATATACAAATTTTAATAGGATTTTGTATTTTTTGACTCAAGGGTAACCCATAATTTGGGGTCGTCTTCTATCTACTTTGTAATATTCTGTCAGTATAGTGATTTTCATCAAGATTGCTCCTTTAATTTGATGGATAGACACGTGGGTCATTGAATTGTTTTATATTATTGTGTATTATTCATAATATATTTTTTATAACCATTGATTCTATATCTGTGTGTGAATTTTTTAATAGAACGTGTATTTATATTTCAAAACATAATGATAAATTATATTTTATATAACGCATTTAATAAAGTGCGTTTATGTCCTTCACACATGAGAACGCAATACAAATCCATAATCTTTAGTTTTGTGAAAACAGGGCATTGAGAAACTTTTTGATATTTTATATTCTTGGACTGCAGGCTCTTGGGCTGTTATGTGAAGCTGCAAGAAGTCATAAAATGTGAGCTTAAGGCTTAAAGACAATAAGGGTTTCTAGGTCAACTTCCAACTTCTCTTTGCTTCATATGACGAAACTTCCCCAGAATCACTTAAAAAATTATGTGTTGAAATTATTCGAGTACTTGATGACTCATCAGATACCTCCTTTGAAAGTGGCGCAGTTTCTTCTGCTTTAGAAGTTGTAGCTGAAAATTCCCTTCCAATAATTCCATTTTTTAGTCTTGCCTTCAATCTGTACAAGATATATTGCATCTCATAACTTAGCTGTGACTTCTAGCTGCCTCAGAGCAACGGCTGCCCTGATAAATGTTCTAGGTCCAAAGGCACCTGGCAGAACTTCCCAAGATTATGGACATGTGATGAGTCATCTTTATCAAGTATTGTCTAATTTGGATATGAAACCCAAAAGTAGTGATGTTGTATCAGCCACAATGGAATCCTATTTTTATCTTCTCATCACTTTGGAGGCAGTTGTGGACAAGCTTGGTGGATTTTTAAATCCGTACCTTGGTAAATATCATGGAGATTCTGTTGCTTTATCCTGAACATATTTCAGGAATGCATGCAAAGGTGGAATCTAGAGCTCATGGAGTAAGAAAGCTTCTTGCTGAAAGAATTCCTGTAAGGCTTTATATAATGTAGTATTGTGTATCTGGTATGATCAAAGTTCTTGTGTTGTTATTTACCATTCTTACTTTTTTACAGGTTCGACTTGCAAATTGCCACCTTGTTAAAATTATACCCCGGCTTTCCATTAAGGCTGGGATAAAAGCTTAACTATTGTCCCTTTGATATGGTTGGGAATCATAATAGGTACAATGGACGATCGTCCATTGTGGCATTCATGGGAAGGTATTTGACCTTTGTTTGGTTGCTCTTGATCTGCGCCGGCAAAGTCCTCCTTCAATTGAAAACATTGATTTAGTTGAGAAAGGTGTGCTTAATACATTGACTGTTCTGACTCTAAAACTTACGGAGAGCATGTTCAAGCCCCTTCTCATAAAGAGTATAGAGTGGGTAGAATCTGAAGTGGATGGAACTTCATGTACGGGAAGCATTGATAGGGCCATATCTTTCTATGGCATGGTAAATAAGCTTACAGAGAACCATCGGTAAGTTGACATTCGTATGTTCTATTTTTGGTTACCTAGTAATTGTCTTCTCAGAATGTTCCTTGAAATAGCATGGTTTGAAAATTTAGGCCTATGTGGTTATTTTATTATCAGAAGAGTTTAGCTTTTTGTCCCTAATAAATTAGGAATTATAATGTATATAGGAAAATAGTGTATTGAACTACCGTAAATATGTCAACCACCTATGACAGTAGTAAATTTCTTTATATAATTTGCTTACTATTTAAATTGGAGATTAGTTTCAATGTGAATTCCTTATTCTTACTTCCCGTCTTCTCCTTAGTATATGGCATTTTTTTTAACATAATCGCACAGACCAATGAAAACAATTAGTTTGATTTTTTAAAAAGTATTACTATTTCACCAAATTAACCTTCATTAATGGGGACTTCAACCCGCCCCCCCCCCCCCCCCCCCTATTCTATACTTTGCGTTTCACTATTCATTAACACAACAAAATAACTCATATATTTTTTGGGGCGTAATAGCAAACATATGAACCTGTAGAGAATTATAGACTGTCTTGTAGAAAGAACAACAATTTCTTTAAAATCGTGTATTTTACTATCTGGAGGGAGATCAATGGGTTATCACCCGTAGACATTAGTTGTATATTCAAGTTATTTAAGGTTACATTAATTTTTTTTCCTTAAATAATGATCAAAGACAGCCATTTAAGGTGTTATATCCTTACTTGTAGGTCATTGTTTGTTCCTTACTTCAAACACTTGCTTGGTGGATGTGTTCATCATCTTAGTGATGATGGAGATGTGAAAGTGTCTACTGGGAATCAGAAGAAAAGGGCCAAGATTGTGGATGATGGCAATATAAAAGAAACAGGCAGCGTCTCCATCAAGGTTTGGCATCTCAGGGCACTAGTCTTGTCATCTTTACACAAGTGTTTCCTGTATGACACCGGGACCTTGAAGTTTCTGGACTCCTCAAATTTCCAGGCAAGTGAAATTGTGCATATAAAGAACTCACTTACTTCATGTCTATCCAATACCAAAGTATTGGATATTAATTATGTATTTGTTAAGTATCAAGCCTTTTAAAGTTATAAAAATTTAATTTAATATTTGTTACAAATGAGACATCGAAGCACTGTCTCTTTATGAACCAAAACGGAATCTATTCTCTGTGGATGGTCCAAAAAATGGATTGAGTTTTTACTCCATTAATATTTGTAGATTATATGATATGATTTATTATGACAATTATTAATACTTTTTATTTTTAATATGTTTGCAGAAGTGAAATTATACAGTTATTATATTTTTTGAATTTTTGTACATATCTAGATATATATCTTATACATATTGTATCTTGTATATTTTATAATAATTGTATCTTGTATAAAATATAAATAATATTTGACATATCTAACACAACAGTTGCAACACGATTTTGAGTAGTTATGAGAAAGTTCAGTGAAGACTTTGTTTCTTCCATCTAGTTGATTGATTAGCTCACCCCACTTAATATTTTTTAAAATATTTGTACTAGGAATTTTTCCATTTCACTTAAAAATACTTTGCATATTTTCTTCATTCTCTTTTCTCTCATTCCTTTAAGGAATAAAATATTCTTTTAACCTTTTAGCTTCCTTCAGTAGTGTTCTTTCTAATTCTATTTCCTCACTGACTTAATATCATACTTGGCCACAGAATGTTGTTGAGACCTATTGTTTCACCAACTTGTAATAGAATCCACCGACTTTGTTGGACTACAGCATGAATATACCGAGTGTTAAGGCCGTTTGATGACCTAGTGGTTTTTCCTGCATCGGTCAAAAGGCAGTGACTTGCTGGATCTTACCTTTTTGTGAAGCCTTTGAACCATGAGGTAAGTTTTTTATTGCTATTCCTTTCTAAGTCGTTATTGTTTATGCATGTAAGTTTGACACTGACATTCTATTATATGTTGGCATTTGTATTGAGTGAAACACATAGGTGTTAATGGGAAACACGTTTTGAATATGGCCATAGTCAAAATATAATTACAGATATGGCCTCGCAAAACCTTTGAACTTGACAATCGCTCCCACCTGTTAACAAAGTAGCTATGGGACGGTTGTCATTAGCAAGCCAATAAGTGGATTTGGGCTAATATCACTAGCCATTCAACTAGAAAAACAAGAGCAACTTGTCACAGGACTCGAACCACCCTAACTGCTTTCAATCTTGTGCTTCCATCACCTATCTTTTAACAGAAGAAAACGAGGGAAATTAATTGAATCTCTCTAATAAGTGCAAAAGGCAAAACAAGTCTTTGAGAAGTCAAATGAGGCAACTTCCATAAAATTTGACTAGTTTATTAGAAAAGTTTAATTCATTTTGTTTGGGCTTAACAAAGTTTAATTGTAAATAGACGACATAGTTAATGCCATTTTGACAAACTTAAGATATTATGCTATTGACGCTCTATAGTTATGTATGTGATTTTGACCCACAGGTTGATAATCTAAAATGGTGTCAACCTTCTCGTGTCTCTGGCATCCTCATTACATAATACATTAGTTTTTTCTCATTATTTCTTTATTTTAAATTTTGGGGTATTCAGTAACAATCTAGAGCTCTAGAGTGCTATATGTTTGTACCCAACTCATACCAGTATTGAATTTCATTTGCCACCCATAGCTGTCGTTTAAGAAACTGAATATCTTTCTGCCTTCTTCTTCCGGTTCTTTTACAGGTTTTAATGCAGACACGGAGTGATAAGATGCGAGCTAAAATGTTGGGCCTAAGAATTGTCAAGTATTTTGTGGAGAACTTGAAAGAGGAATACCTAGTTTTATTGGCCGAAACGATCCCCTTCCTTGGTGAACTACTTGAAGACGTGGAGATTTCAGTTAAATCTCTTGCGCAGGATATTCTCCAGGAAATGGAGTCTCTGAGTGGGGAAAGCCTTCGGCAATATCTATGATGTAGTTTCTAAGGGTGTTATGATATTCTGTAATCAATTGATGAATCCGATCCATAGCCCCTGTAAATTTTGTTTATTTAAGCAAAGTTAGCATTAATTTTACTCTGATAAAGGTAAAAGTTCTATTTTTAAACTCTCAATTATTTAAAGCATAATGCTCTTAGGGAGTATTTGTAATACCAAGAGGGAAAAAAATATTAAATTGATTCGTTTTAAAATACATAATTTTTTAGTCAATATCTAAAACTTCGTTCCCCAGTTGAATGTAATCTTGTGACTCATTTCTACACAAGTCTTAATATTTTGTATCTTGTTCATTTAAACTTTATCATTTCATTTGTTTTAAAAAAAATCAAGTTTGTCGTGCTACATTTTTAGTTCGTTATTCTTTCGTTTCTTTCTATGCATGCAATTTTTTTTTTCTTTTTTGCGCTTTATTTTACGTCAATGATTTTTTTAAGGTTCTGATTTTACTTGGGACTACATGACATTTTAATTTAATTAATCTTTCTTTTCAATGTAAAATATATAAAAACATAAACTGGTTGTGTGGTAATTGTCTCAAGCGGCAGCGTTGTTTTAATGGGCTCTCACTTACAATCCTGGTCAAACATTAATACTGATAAGCACTTTGAAATTGTAATGTAAAGCCTTAATGATCTCTCTCTCTCTCTCTGTACCTATTTTGACACTCCTTTCATTCATTCTTCCTTAGCTGTTAATTGGAGGCAAGGACTTGTAAGGCATAATCTTTAAAGGGAATTGTTAATAAAAACTAAAGGTTTTACACATTAACTGTTTAAAATTAAGTTATTTATATAAGTAACTCTTTAATTTTAAGCAATTCACGAATGTAAACTTTACATTGAAATTGTTTTTATACATATAAACAAATTTTGGATGTAAATTCATTAAAAACTAGACAAATACTAAATATTTTAATATAACAAATGAAAAATGTCATTTAATAATTGTCAAATAAAATAAATAATTAAGAAGTTGCGTCATGCTTCTAATTTTAGTAAAGCAAAAGCTTACTTTTCAATCATCTAAATTTACGTTGGGAATTAATTTTTATAATTTATCTTACAAGTTCTTTCACTTTTAAATTGTGGTCCTCTTCTCATGCTTCGCATTTACTTTCAAATTTAAGTTTCTTGCCCAATTGCATTTCAGAGATTTTATATTAAATTTGGTTTCTTTTCTAGATTCTTTGAATTCGAATACATTTTATTTTCTTGCCCATTTTTACATCTTGAGTGTTTTTAATTGATGAACCAATAACTGATTATAAAAGCCCACATGTTGAATTCACAAGTTCCAGCTTTTGGTGGCATAATCTTCCTTTTTAGGCACTCACAGAAAGGACTTTACTGCAAACAGACACGAGGCCTTCGATTCATTTCATGCATGGAAAGTTTTATGCTTTTCCTTTCTTCGATCAGATATTCTTATAATATAGATAAAAAAACAAGGATAACGATACTTTTTGACTAACATTTTTTTTATAATATTTTTAACACTATTTATGTGTCATTATGTGATTGGTCCATGTTGGTGTTTATGATTATTATTATTGATTGTGGAGTAATTTTGGACCAATCACAGTGACATGTAGATGATATTAAAATATTATCAAAACATGTAGTTAAAGTATCATTATCCAAAAAACAACATCCCAAATGTTTTGGTGTCAAAAAATCGATGGTTCTAGGAAAAAAAATTTTAATTTTTTTACAACGACAAATTGTTATTGGTTTATTTTAAATATACATATCAATAAAACAACTATAATGTATTGTTAAAAAGTTGTTAAAATAATTGTTAAAAGAATTTGTTAAAATGTCATCGTCCATCTTATTATACGTATGTATAAGACATGAAAAGGTATGTTGATGTGTTTTAGATTTAACAATTGCGAAACACAACTGAAAGAGATTCTTGAAAGACCAGGTGCAGCGTTACGATACAGTTGAAGATGATTGTGATGAAGCATCTGGTTCCATCCCTTTGTCAAGTTGTAGATGCAGCTTTTCTCCATATTCCATTTCTTCAAACACATCTTGTACTCTTTCAAAGATGGATCCAACACAGTCACTGGCAACCCAACAAGCCTTCCATTTTCTTTGATACATTCATCCAATGACGATTCCTCAGTTTCTGAAAGAAATTTGTTGGCAATCTTTGAGGGTGGAATGGACAAGCGAGCATGCTTTGGGTCCAAATCTGTACTAAAAAGCGTCTTTTCGATCACAAACTTTATCTCAGATCCATTGAGTTCTTTAATCTTCTCCTGAAATTCTCTTGGCAGCAAATGACCTTCTTCCTCACTGTTTCTCAAGTCATGCCTATTATCAGGTAAATTTCGTTCCTCTTCGTATGCACTGAATAAGGACACTGCCTCTAACAAATATTCTAACTTTGATTTATCCTTACTGCATCCTACTTTAGTCTTCATTCTCTTTGATGCTTTATCATTACTTTCTACTTCTTTCCCTTTCCTTTTGAGACTCCTTTCACTCATTTCCATGGAAAACTCATGCTTGTCTTCTCTGCCAAGAAAGTCACTGAACACAGTCTTCATCGTTTTTCCATTACTAACTTTCTTCTTTTCGGTTCCTCTCAGAATTTTCTCTTCCATTGTTTTACGTTTCATTCTACACTCTTCACTCTTGTAGATTAGAATATAATATAAAATAAAGATAAAACATTTATATTTAATAGTATATTCGTAAATACCTTGGTTTAATAATTAAGGTAATTGATACGGCACCATATATTTTTATTTAGATAGTATTAGTTCTATTTTTTAAATTTAATATAATTTAGTTAATATATGTATGATAATTATGTTTACATGCATTTAAACACAAGAGGAAATGGTCATAAAATAAGAGTAATGATTATTTTGAGTAATGGTTATACAAGGGTAAAATGGTCTTAAAAATATAAAGTTTTGTATTTTTTTCAAGAAAGAAGATAGTAAAAAGTAAACAAGGATAATGTCAAATAAATGTAAAATATTTAAATGTGTCAAAAATTATTTTCCATAAAAGAATATTATTTTATATTTTCAAGAAAGAAAGTTAAAAGTAAGAAAAAAAATAATGTCAAATAATTAAAAAATTTTATGTGTGTCAAAAGATAAATTTTTACATTTTTTCAAAAAAAGAAGAAAGTAAAAAATAAGAAAAGATAGTGTTAATTAAGATTTATGTAAGTCATAATATATTTTTCTTATACTTTTATCTTGTGAATTTAATTGATATCATTCTATTCAAATATATTTTTAATTCATAAGATATTGTGTAGATTTAGTATTTTCTCGATTGTGTGAGAATTTAATTGATGTATGTTAATTGAAATTTTTTTTACCCCCCCA